CTGACAATGGTAGCAAGCATTATTGTTATTATTCCTAGGTCTGTTATTGTTTTGTTGCCAATTATTATTATTGTTTGGTCAATTGTTTCTAGTATTTTGATTATTATCCTGATTGTTTTAACTATTATTATTATTATTATTAGTTTGTTTAGAAATGTTTGTATTAACTGGTTTTAATTGTTTAACAGTCTCAGTTAAGAATTCCTTAGTTTGGGCAGCTATTAAAGCTTTAATATCTACTTCAAAAGTAGGTGAAGTATGACCAAAGAAGTGTGGTTGGTGTGCAGCAGGTAATAATGAGTAGGCTGAGAGAGTATTGCCTTTTGAATAGGCTACTTCAACAGCTTTAGCTTTTTCAACGGCATCATGTAGGTCTTCTGGTATAGCTGATTTAACAGGGATATAGAATTTAGTACGCAATCCATCCATAAACTGTCTTTTTCTATATTCGTCAGGGTATTTTTCATCTGGATCTACTTTTTATCATAATTCTTTTAATGCAGAAAAGTAAAATTTAATAGTTTCACTAGGTTTTTGTTTTCTATTTCTTAAAGTATAGTACTATTGAGTAATTCGATGTAAGCTTCTAAATTGTCTTTCAAATTGATATTTAAAGGAGTAATGCATATTATTAACAGTAGAATAGTTGTCCCAACTAGTAAATGTCGGGGATAATGCTGAAATCTTATGATGCTGAAATTTAGGAGCCTTAATTTGAAAATATAAATTCTACTAAAATTCACCTATACTCTTTTATTATAAACACTAACCCTAAATTCTAATCGAACTATGAAAAAAAGCTAAACAAAACATCCTAAAAAAATTTTACATTTTCATAATAAAATAAGTCAAAATGTCAGCATCATCCGATTTCAGCATCATCCCCGACAGTAAATATTGCTTTATAGCAGTTAAACCAAGTAAGAGCTGTTCTTTTTAAATAGTTAGCTACTATTTCTAATCTTCTTTCTTTGCTGATTTTATTTGCAGTTGCTGCATTATTAAATGCTTCAAACCAAGCAATTGGATCTTCTTCACCTCCTTTGAAAGTAGAAAAATCTACAATCTTTGCTTCTTTAGGCCTATTATAATTATTGTTAAACATCTGTCCTAATCTGGTAATTAATTGTTCTATTAACTCAGCAGGAGTAGGTTCTTCATTATCATTTCTTTGTTTAGGCTCTCTTCGAAATACTAATGGTGTTGTCCGAGCATCTTGATGTGAGTTATCTTCATTAATAATGATATTTTCCACATTATCAATTACGTCTACTCTATTATCTTCAGGCTGGAAACCTTCATTATTTTTGTTGTGACTCATTGTTATAGATTCGAATTCAGATTCAGCTTCAGATTCAGACTCTTGTTCAGACTCTGAGTTAGAGTTGTTATTGTTTTGACTACCTTCTGATATAGAAGCAGATACAACTTAATTCAGTTATTATTTGATCAAACTTTTTACTAGAAGTATGATTATAATATAAAAGAGATGTTATTAATTTTTCAAAATTTTCTTTCCTTCGAGCTTCTTCAAATATACTTATAATTTGAGCTTGGTTAAAGTGATATAATGTTTTATTATTATAAGCAGATACATTATATTTTTTTGAAAACTACTTCCAAAAACAAAGAAATGATGGAGGAGTAGTATAATAGGTTTCAATAGAATGACAAAGAAGACAACTAGGATCAGGGTTTTTTTTTGCTTTTCTTTGAATTATATACTGATTAGTTTGGTAAACAAACTCATGATTGTGAATTTGTCTTTTATATGTTTCAATATTCATTCATAATTTGTTCAAAGCCAGACTAAAAAGTCTTTGTTTTGATAAAATTTGAATAGATCGTTTAATTCGTCTTTTGTAGGTGCTTGATTATTTAATTCTTCTTCATATAGCTTCAAGTTATTTAGATCATGCTTTGGGTAATAAGTATAAGTGAAAGGATTTGATTAAGATAAAGGTAGTATATTATAGATAGTTCCAGTAGGGTTGTCAGGTTTAGAAACTCTAAATAGTAAGTAGTAGAAGAAGCAAGCTCAGCAAAGTTTGGTTCAATTTGGTATTCTTCGTCCCAGAGCTGTTTTGGCTTAGGGTTGTATCCGTTAGCCCAGATAAAACCACAATGCTTGGTATAAAGGTATAAAATTTTTGTTTCCTCAGTAGTTAAAAAAGAACCAGTTTGTAACAATTGAATAATAGTTTTAACTTTGTTATAAATTTGTTTTGCTTCTTGGTCAGTTGGGTATTTGTTATCACAATATTAAAATAAAAAATTAATTTCACAATATTTATAAAGGGCTTTAAGAAAATTTCTAGATATTGACTAAACTATAAAGAAAGAAAAATAATAGAGGGGTACCAGGATACTGTCAACCTGGTAAGGATTAACTTTTATAACAAATTTTTAAAAGATTTAAAAAAAATTAATAGGTGGATAATAAATTTAAAATCAATAACCTCCAAGATACTATAAGAAGCAATAGGTCAATTTGGGGATATCACCTATTGGTCTTTCTGTATTAGCCAGATATAACAAAAAGTGGTTTGCCCTGTACAAGGATTATTAGCCACTTAAATTTAACAATATCTGTAGATATAGCCAGAGGAAGAAGTACTAATAACCAGACCGTAATCAGTTATATATAGCTTTTAAATTCCAATAATACAAGGCTAGTACCTGCCAAAGTACTATTCACAATTACAGCTATTACT